TGAGAGTCTTACTAAATTGTTGAGGCTGAGCCAGGTGTGCTGGTGCATACCTATAGTCCCCACAGTTTGGGAGGCTGAGGCAGGAGGATCACAAGTTCAAGGCCAGTCTTAGGAATTTAGCAAGGCCCTAAGCAACTTAGAGAAACCCTGGGGATGAGGCTCAGTGGTTAAGTGCCCCTGGGTTCAATCCAATAAAAAAAAAAATTAAAAATAAATTTTTGGGCTGGGTTTGTGGCTTAGTAGTAGATCACTTGCTTAGCACATGTGAGGCACTACATTCCATCCTCTGCAACACATAAAAATAAGTAAATAAAATAAAGGCATTGAGTCCATCTACAACTAAAAACATTTTTTAAAAATAAAAATTAAGAAAAATAAATTGTTGAGGCTCACCTTGAACTTGTGATCCTCCTGCCTCAGCCTCCCAAATTGCTGGGATAATAGACATGCGACACCATGCTCTCATTGTATCTTTCAGCTGCATCCCAAATCTTGTTTTTTTTTTTTTTTCTCACTGACCAAACTGTCTCATCTGTCCTTTAAATTACTCTTCAATTTCCATGGATGGTTCCAATGCAAATCCACCAGTTCTTCTTCTGTTCATCTTCTCTTGTGTGGATCTGGACACTCAGTGCCCAGCAGTTGCTATTCTTGCTCACCTCTCTGATATGCAAGCTGGTGCACAGGTGCTTTCCCTGGACCCTCACCTCACAGGACTCTCCCCAAGCTCTCTTAGTCTCAGCAACAGTGTCTTCTGTCCCCTCATTATGTTCATCTGGCATTGGGTTTTGTGCTTTTCCCCCAGGCTAAAATGCACTTCCCTCCACATCTTTGCATGGTTGATTCCTTTTTTCTTTTTCTTTTCTTGCAGGAGGGGGTTACTGGGGACTGAACCCAGGGGCACTTTGTACTGGGCTACATTCCCAGTTCTTTTCTTTCTTTCTCTCTCTCTCTCTCTTTCTTTTTTTTTTCTTTGCCATGCTAGGGATTGAACCCAGGGCCTTGTGCATGCAAGACAAGCACTCTACCAACTGAGCTATATCCCCAACCCTCCCCAGTTTCTATTTTTTTATTTTGAGACAGGGTTTCATTAAGATGTTGAGGATCTTGCTAATTTGCTGAGGCTGGCCTCCAATTTATGATCCTTCTGCCTCAGCCTCTCAAATCATTGGGATTACAGGTGTGCACCACCATGCCCAACTTTTTTTTTCCTCCCCTTGGGGACAGGTAACTAGGGAATTAACTCAGGGATGCTTTACTACTGAGCTACATCTCTAGCCCTTTTTATTTTTTATTTTGCAACAGGATCTTGCTTGCAATTCTCCTGTCCCAGTCTCCTGACTTGCTGGCATTACATGTCACCATGCTTTATGTGTCACCATGCCCAGAGAATTCTTAGATTTCAGTCTAAATATAATTTCCTCAGAAGTTTTTATTATTTTTTTAAATTTATTTTTTTATTTTAATTTGTTACATATGACAGCAGAATGCATTACAATTCATATTACACATGTAGAGCACAATTTTTCATATCTCTGGTTGCACACAAAGTAGTCACACCATTCGCGTCTTCATACACGTACTTAGGGTTAAGATTTTTGAGTTCTTTATATACCCTAGGGATTAGTGCTTTCTCTGATGTACGTGTGATAAAAATTTGCTCCCAAGCTGTAGGCTCTCTGTTCACCTCACTGATTGTTTCTTTTGATGAGAAGAAGCTTTTTAGTTTGAATCCATCCCATTTATTGATTCTT